TGTGTGTGTTTGTGTGTGTATTTGTTTGTGTTTGTTTGTGTGTGTTTGTGTGTCTGTGTGTGTGGTGTGTGTGTGTTTGTGTGTTTGTGTGTTTGTGTTTGAGTGTGTGTGTCTGTGTGTGTTTGTGTTTGTGTGTGTGTGTGTGATTGTGTGTGTGTTTGTGTGTGTGTGTTTGTGTGTGTGTTGTGTGTGGTGTGTGTGTGTGTGTGGGTGGGTGCGTGGGTGCGTGCGTGCGTGCGTGGGTGCGTGGGTGGGTGCGTGGGTGCGTGGGTGGGTTGGTGGGTGGGTGGGTGGGTGGGTGGGTGGGTGTGTGTGTTTTTTTGTGTTTGTTTGGTTGTTTGTTTGTTTGTCTGTTTGTAGTGCCCGCCTTTTTGGTTGGTTTCAATCGGAAAGCAAGCGGAAACCGACCATGTTTGGGGGTCCCCTAGAAAAGATACACCCCGATGCGGTTGGTTCGGTTGCTCATTCGTGGCTGACGAATTGCAGCCTTTGGGGCAAGTGCACGGTCCGTTCTCGGAAGAGATCCGGAAATCAGGAATCCCGGATTTAGATTCCAATTTGGATTTGAACCCCTTGTTGAAGAGGAAACGAGCTTGATGAGCTTGAGGGTTTGTTGGTTGGGGGGGTTCCTGATGTTAGTGACTTGGCCACATGCTTGTGTGTGGCTCAGCCAGCATTCAGCATGGCCGGTCGGTTTTTGTTTGCTTCATTGAGGCCAGGCGGAAGCAGGAGCGCGAGCGCTACTTTCGCTCGGAGGTCCGGGTCGCGGCAAGTTCCAGGAGAGAACATGGCCATGGGTCAAAATCTAAATCGTACCCCCCACTGAACATGCCAATCCCCACTAAAATAGGTTCTAAAATGGGTGGTGAATTCACCTACCCCAAAATTGGATCCCATTGGTTTTGACCCACAGCCAAGTGTGAGTAATCAGTCTTCTGTGCTTGCCCGCACTGCGGATTTGGATCAGTCCCCGCATGTTGAGCAAGCCAGTTTTGTCGACAAGCCACAAACAATCACTCCCGGTTTTAAAACAGGGTCACTGGGTATTTTGGAATCTGTTTATTTGTGTTTGCCGACAGCTCAGCTGGGAAATCTATATTACAAGTAAGGTCCGGCAGAGCCGGGGGGCGGAAGTTTCAAAGCAGTGAACAACTATAGTTTGGAGAACTGTCCTTGGCCCCTTGCTTCTCTTTCTCTCTCTCTTTTTCTCTCTTTCTCTCTTTCTCTCTTTCTCTTTCTCTTTCTCTTTCTCTTTCTCTCTCTCTTTCTATCTATCTCTCTAGCTATCTCTATATCTGTTTATTGATCTATCTATCTACCCATCTTTCTCTGCACTTAAAAGTTGCGATGTTCAATCCCCGAAAGTTGACTTCGCGTACTACTTTCGTACTTAAAAGTTGCGATTTTCGAGCCCCGGCTGCGAAAGTGGACTTTGCGCACTACTTTCGTACTTAAAAGTTGCGATTTTCAAGCCCCAGCTGCGAAAGTTGACTTCGCGTACTACTTTCGTACTTAAAAGTTGCGATTTTCAAGCCCCGGCTGCGAAAGTGGACTTTGCGCACTACTTTCGTACTTAAAAGTTGCGATTTTCAAGCCCCAGCTGCGAAAGTTGACTTCGCGTACTACTTTCGTACTTAAAAGTTGCGATTTATCTATAGATCTACCTATCTATCTACCTCTCTATCTCCTATCTATCTATCTACCTCTCTATTTATTTATCTCTCTATCTCTTTAGCTAGTTATTTGTCTATCTATCTACAAATCTATCTATCTCTGTCTATCTCTGTTTCTCTATCTCTTTCTATCTATTTCTCTAGCTATCTCTATATCTGTTTATTGATCTATCTATCTACCCATCTTTCTCTGCACTTAAAAGTTGCGATGTTCAATCCCCGAAAGTTGACTTCGCGTACTACTTTCGTACTTAAAAGTTGCGATTTTCGAGCCCCAGCTGCGAAACTGGACTTCACGTACTACTTTCGTAGTTAAAAGTTGCGATTTTCGAGCCCCAGCTACGAAAGTGGACTTCGCGTACTACTTTCGTACTAAAAAGTCGCGATTTTCGAGCCCCAGCTGCGAAAGTGGACTTTGCGTACTACTTTCGTACTTAAAAGTTGCGATTTTCAAGCCCCGGCTGCGAAAGTGGACTTTGCGCACTACTTTCGTACTTAAAAGTTGCGATTTTCAAGCCCCAGCTGCGAAAGTTGACTTCGCGTACTACTTTCGTACTTAAAAGTTGCGATTTTCGAGCCCCGGCTGCTCAAATCTGTGCTTGACCTTGCTAAAGCGCTGCGCCTGCCACAAAATCTGTACTTGACCTTGCGAAAGTGCTGCGCGTGCCACGAATTTTGCACTTGACCTTGCGAAAGTGCTGCACCTGCCACAAATTCTGTACTTGACCTTGCGAAAGTGATGCGCCTGCCACGAATTTTGTACTTGACCTTGCGAAAGTGCTGCGCCTGCCACGAATTTGGCACTTGACCTTGCGAAAGTGCTGCGCCTGCCACGAAATCTATACTTGACCTTGCGAAAGTGCTGCGCCTGCCACGAAATCTATACTTGACCTTGCGAAAGTGCTGCGCCTGCCACGAAATCTACACTTGACCTTGGGAAAGTGCTGCGCCTGCCACGAAATCTACACTTCACCTTGCGAAAGTGCTGCGCCTGCCACGAAATCTATACTTGACCTTGCGAAAGTGCTGCGCCTGCCACGAAATCTATACTTGACCTTGCGAAAGTGCTGCACCTGCCACGCAATTCAAACCTAGCGAAACCTTCGCGCGGCCGTGCCAATGGTCCCGTCTCCGAGACCGTTCCGAGACCGTTCCGAGACCGTTCCGGGACCGTTCCGAGACCGCCTCCGTACAGGCGTCGCGACCGAGGTGGTTTGCGCACTGTCCGGAAGCCCAATTCACGCATGGCACCAACGTTTCTGCAACTTGCTATCCCCCAGCTCGCAGAAAGTGGACGCAGCACCTTGCGAAAGTGCTGCGCCTGCCACGAAATCTGTACTCGACCTCGCGAAAGTGCTGCGCCTGCCACGAAATCTATACTTGACCTTGCGAAAGTGCTGCACCTGCCACGCAATTCAAACCTAGCGAAACCTTCGCGCGGCCGTGCCAATGGTCCCGTCTCCGAGACCGTTCCGAGACCGTTCCGAGACCGTTCCGGGACCGTTCCGAGACCGCCTCCGTACAGGCGTCGCGACCGAGGTGGTTTGCGCACTGTCCGGAAGCCCAATTCACGCATGGCACCAACGTTTCTGCAACTTGCTATCCCCCAGCTCGCAGAAAGTGGACGCAGCACCTTGCGAAAGTGCTGCGCCTGCCACGAAATCTGTACTCGACCTCGCGAAAGTGCTGCGCCTGCCACGAAATCTATACTTGACCTTGCGAAAGTGCTGCACCTGCCACGCAATTCAAACCTAGCGAAACCTTCGCGCGGCCGTGCCAATGGTCCCGTCTCCGAGACCGTTCCGAGACCGTTCCGAGACCGTTCCGGGACCGTTCCGAGACCGCCTCCGTACAGGCGTCGCGACCGAGGTGGTTTGCGCACTGTCCGGAAGCCCAATTCACGCATGGCACCAACGTTTCTGCAACTTGCTATCCCCCAGCTCTCCTGATTTCAGCTTTTCTCGTAGCTTTTTTCGCGCACATCCATGTATCTTAAAGCTATCTATCTGTCAAGCTGGTTATATGTCAAAGCTATCTATCTGTCATGCTAGTCTTTGGAAAGCTATCTATGTGTTAAGCTGGCTATATGTCAAAGCTATCTATTTGTCATGCAAGCCTATTGGAAAGCTATCTATCTGTCAAGCTAGCTATATGTCAAAGCTATCTATTTGTCATGCTAGCTACCTGTCATAGCTATATGTCAAAGCAGCTAGCTCATTTAGTTCCAGTACTACGGAAGTTTCTTGTTAAACTTCCTTTGATAATCTAATATTTGACTGAATCATCAGTTACGCACAGGTTCCAACCAACATGTGCAGGTCTAGTTTGGTGGCCTAAGAATCCACCATCCACAGGTGCAACCGTAGCTGAGCAGCTGTCAAAACGTGAGTAAAGGTTAGGGGAGAGTTCCAACCATGCCCTCTTCATTCGTTGCTTACATGGGCATTCATCAATACCCCCAATTTTCTTGGGCAACTTTTCCCTTTTAGTGCTTTTTTTCCCCCAATGGTCATCCCAAGTAAAGGACCTTTTGATCAACCCCTTGTGTCTTTTTGGTTCCTGCCTAGGTCCATCTCACCGCCGGACCTCCCAAGCGAAAGCGGGATCTTTTTCAGCCCCGCCAGGAGGGACGGGTGCTCTCCCGGCAAACGGGGCAGGGCGGGGCGGGCGAGGTGGTGTTTCCCCTGTTTGTTTAAAGGGAATCTGTCACTATTGGACATATTTGTGTGTGTTTTTTCCTAGGGGGCTTAAGCAAATGGAAGCAGGGGTCCTAAATATTTGGCTTTGTGCGTGCGTGTGTGTGCCAAAATATGTGTGGCTTGATTCAAAGGGAGATTTGAGGTATGTTCGCCGTGGGTTTCCGTTGAAACAACCCCTAAAGAGCAGACACGCACAAAAACACACACTCAAGGCCACTCAGCTCAAGTTGCGCCTGTAGAGTCCTGACAATTTTTAATGGCAACACAAATGGTCGAGTTGTTTCTGTTGCAAATCTAATCAATGTTGTTACACTGTTCATGGTAATCAATGGAAACATGTGAAAACTTGTAGACCGATTTGTTCTGCAATACCAACAGAACCCCATCAAAGCAACCATGTAGTCATGGGATTTCCCAGTTGGTGGTGGGGTTGGTGCGGTTGGCTGGGTGGGAACCCCTCTTTGAACCGCCGCAAGAGGGTATGCGGCGGTATGCGTGAGGATGTCACTTTAATGGGCCCGATCCTAAAGCAATAACTCTGACTTGCCACAGTCCATTCAGGTTGGCTGAACAAGTTGCCAGCCGACTGCTTGTTGGTTCACTCATGTCCTAGGCGGACAATTGAACTCCGGGCTTCGTTTCGCCAGGAGCCCGAGTCGCAGAAGGAAAGTCCCAAAAAGCCCAAGCCGACGCCGGAGGAAAAGGAGGCTGCGGAGCTGGTGCCTATGGAGTCTGAGCAGCCTGGCTGGAACACAACGGAGAGCGCTACGCAAAACCTGGTTGATCTTCATCGGCGTTTGAGTGGGAATCCGGATCACTTGTTGGGGCCCAAAGAAATGATCCACCCGGTTGATCAATCCGAGGTCGACATTAAGAAACATGTCCCGCAGTGTTTGCTGGTACTTTTCTCGGGCTGATTGAATTTGTTGGTTGATTTATTTCATGGGAAGGATTTCATTGACGGAATGTTTTGATTGATTTGGTCATGGTTTTGATTTGATGTGTTTTCATTTGTTTTGGTTGATTGATTTGTTTTCAATTGATTGAGTGAACTGATTGGTTGATTTGATTGCTTTGATTTGATTGATTGATTGACTGACGGACTGACTGACTGACTGACTGACTGATTGATTGATTGATAGATAGATAGATAGATTGGTTGGTTGGTTGGTTGGTTGGTTGGTTGATTATACGTGTTTTCGGTGATGCGGCAGCAACTGTCCGGCATGAATTTGCCGTTGCACCAGCCCCAGTAAAGGTCTGTCTCGAGTCCATCCAGCGCGTCTTCCTCGAGCAGCATGTCCTCAGATGATGAAGCTTGGCGGTTCCCAGCCGAACGGTTCCTTAGATTTTTGGACTTTGGGAGGTTGGAGAGAGGGATGGGGTTTTCAAAGTTTGAAAATGAGTGTCTGAAAGTTTTGAGTCTTTGAAGTTTATGACATATCCCGCTGGAAGGCTTTTTCAAAGTCGAACTTTTAGCAAGGGGTTCAGCCAAGGAAAGCGAGGAAAGCGTTTGGGAAGATGACTTTGGCTGCCTCCCGCTGCAAGATTCAGGAGACATGGACACACAACATGTTCAGCTTGAGCCAATAGGAACGGTAGGCCATGTCCTACACCTAAGATGGAACCCACCAGGTCCCGAAAAGTTTTCCAGGAATTCCTCAGGTTCCATGGCCACGTGGGCATTGCACGTGTGTGGTTCCATGGGTTTGGCTTCGTGTCGTCGGATGCGGTTTCAGGAGCCCGTGGGCAATCCATGCAGGCAGGGGAGCCAACTCGCAGTCGACCGGCACCTGCGTGCAAATCATGCCCAGATAGGCTCCGGCCAGCTTTGAAATAGGGTTCCGAGGATTCCGGGCATGCGTGGGACCCAAGGAAAGTCCCGGGCATGGGGCGGTTTTGAGGATGGGATGCATGGGGCAGATCCAAGGGGTTTGAAGAGGGAGATGCATTTGGCGCTGCCGAGGCCGGTTCCTTGCGCGCAAATGTGCCTCGTGCTGTTGGGACTTCCAGACAGAAAGACATTTGGGCCGCGTTCTGTTGTTCGAAGGCTTCCTCCAGCAGCACAGCTCCGGCCAGCGTCCCAAGTTGCACAGACGCCAGCAGATGCATTTTGCTGTTCCCAAATATGTGTGTGTGTGTGTGTTTCTCAAAATGAAGGACCCCTTCAGGTTGTTGGTTTCTTTTTGGTGTCCCTTGGAACCACTGGAGAGACATGAGAGGCTCGGTCAAGTTTCCAGCAGTCGATGGTCCGGAGTCTGGTAGTCTCTTGGGGCGGGGAGATGTTGCTGTCCTGGGGAAGCAAGACATTTTGTTTGGGGCTTGGTTCAAAGGGAAGGGGAACGTAGGAAAGGAGGAGTGGTGTGGAAAGAGATGACCGAAGGAAGCAAAGCAGACCCAAGTGTTCGCAGTTTGCAGGATGCCGGATACTACATAAGTATAGAAGATTGGGACCATGGATGGCCTCAGATTTGGATCAGCACTGCAACAGCCAATGAACCAAGCGAGGGTGGCAGGACGAGACGAAGGGCCCCGCCCAACTTCTCACCAAGAGCCCCACAATTTTCCCAAGGGGAAACAACAAAAAAACGTCCGGGGCTCCTCCGAACAAATGGAGTTTGGGGAGAGGGTACCCCTGGAATTCCATCACTCCATCAAGCTCCTTACTTCGCTTTTCCCTGTGGGGAATTGGAATCGGACTTCCCGCGAGCCCCCTCCCGGCGGGGGAACTCCGGCAATGCCTGTCTCCAGGCTGAGGATGTAGCTCCCAGGAGCAAGGCGAGCCGGATTGAGCCGGATTGGGCCGGATTGGGCCGGATTGGGCCGGAAGATCTCTGACTCTTCTGACTCTGCTGGTTTTGGGGCACCCCCAAAACCATTTGACCATTTGAATTTGAGCGCCTGTTTTCCATCGGACTGAGCTAGGAGTTTGCTAGTGTTTCCCTTGCCAGCTTGCTCAAGAAAGCTTCAAGCTGAGCCACTTCCTTGCACGTGCACAAGCCGGCCTGGTATGAAGTTTGAGACTTTCTACATCCTTCTACTGTTTGGGAAGTCTATGTTAAACGGAACACCAGCAAATAGGCTTCTTTTGAGCCAACGAGACCGAAGCAAGGTCGTTGGCTGTCGCCTTTCTTGCACTTGAGACATCGATTCCTTTGCCGCGCAGGGCGCGTTGGCCACCTTGCTGCAGATGGGCTTCGACGAGAAACGCGCCGCTGGCACCCTGGAGGCCACAGGCGCGGCGAAGAGCCAGAAGCATTCGCTGCCCATTCGTGGAACCAAGAGACTGGAAGATAGGTGTCCTTTTTGGTTGTTTTGGGAATTGGAAATGCATTTTTGGTTGACCTTGTTTCATAGGGGAATCCGATCTAGGCTACCAAAAGGACGCCGGTGGTCACGAGGCACTCGTAGGTTGCAAGGACTCCTTGCTGAGTATTCTGTTTGAGCGGGGCTTTATTTGTTGGCCCCAAGATAGACTAAATCCTAGGGGTTGCCTTTTGAGGACATCAATCTCTACGAAATTGGAAGCTTGAGCGTGGGTGTGTCGCTCTTCGGGGCAGGTTTAGAGGGAACGCAAAGGACTTTTTTAAGGATTGCGGACTCTTTTTTGATTTGCTGTGCCTTTGTTTGAGGGGAATCTCCTTTTGGTTGGCTCAAAGGTTTGGTTTGAAGGGACACCAAAGGACGTGTCCCTTTTGCAGTGGGCGGCTTCGCCTCCGGCTTCTGCAGATTTCTTGGGGACACGCCCATGTCGGATTCCATGTGGGAGTGGGCTATTCCCCCCGGATGCCTGGAGAGATCGCTTAGAGCAGGGCGTAGGCTCCTTCGATTTCTGCTGTAGCTTTCACAATTTGGTGAGCTGTTTATACTTAGCAAATTGGTTGAGTAGAAATAGAACAAGATGAACATCCGGCTCTCAACAACTCTTTCCACAGTGCTGTCCAAGAAGCCGTTGGCGGGTGGCATGTCATTACGTCGTACGGGTCTCGAAGGGACCCCCCTTTCATGTGACAAAGAAGTGATAGGGGCGGTCCACTTTGGTATCTCAGAAAGGGTGACTTTCCACATCCATGACCGGGCATGTTGAACATGCGCGAGGCGGCAATGTGGAGAAGGCCATCGCAGCACTTGTCAGAGGGTCCAAGTCTAGTACATAGTCTCACTCCCTGAGTTAGCGACAAGCCGAAAGTTCAGACTTGATTGGCCAATCCGCTCGGGAAGTGAGTCCCACCGACCGAAATCCTTGTGTACAGCGGCGGATTTATGTCGGCTCTCTCTCTCTCTCTCTCAATAATGGCTTTCAGCTGCTCAATGCAAACGCACGCCATAGATGGTTGCTTGCTCAGTGCATGAGTTACCAGGGATTTGGACCCCTGCTGTCAATTGATCAGCTCCAAGCCTTGGGAGATGTGCATTTTGCATTTTCGTAGACAGCAGTGCGCCTGAAGGTGGTTGCTGTTGGGGAGCAGGGAGGAGCTGAGTGTGCAATTTGGCAGAACCAGCGTTCAATTTGAAGAGATGTGCTTGCACTTCATCGATCACAGCATGCACTGCCTATTCCAGCTATTGCTGCAAATCAGTATTTATGTATATGGATTATTTATCGCAGCAGTTGCGCCTACTGCACACCCTGCTCCTAGCCCGTCTTGGTGCCACAGCTTCTTGGTTGGGCTGTGCGCAAGGCAGAGATGAAAAGAGGAATCATATGGACGAAGATGGATGTGCGTGTTTGCGTGTGTGTATGCATGTGCCAAGCGTAGTTCGACATAGTGTATATGTATAACACATATCCACATAAAGTTGTGTTTGTATGCACGGTGCACGTGTGCAGTCTATTTGCCTGCATAGTATGTATTTGCATTGACGTGTTCCGTTGCTTTGCTGGAACGACAAACCGATGCTGCGTTAGTATGGTTTGGTGCGTTCAAGCCTTACAACCTGGCATTTACTCTTCAGTCGGAGATAGCGTTACGTTGCATTCATTCCGCAGCTGTTCTGATAGATTCGGCGATGTGATGTTTCATGACCATTTCGTCAAGCAGATGGATGCGCCCCTGCAAAGCTGCATGTTCGTTGATTTGACGTTGAAGCCTTGCAAAGCCGCACAGACGTGCGAGCGAGCAGCCGCGGATCATGAGCAAGCGGTATGCGCCCCTCAGTCCTGCCAAACATGCTTTGCCAGGTCTTGTTTTTTCTCGCCCGCCACATTTACAAAATGCAAACGCCTGGGGCAACTCCCTACCAGCTTCAGGGAGTAGCCGAGCTTTTTCTAGTCGCTGGCAATGACGGGCACGCTCAGCACTGCGATCGATGACGCAGGACGGGCACGGGCCGCATGAACAGTGCTCATGATGTTGATTTGTAGGGCTATCAAAGTGAGGAGCCGGGATTGCTTCCCTTCAATTTACTGCAAGGGTGGCGTTAATGGTGAAGCGATGAGGCCAAAAACTCCAGGCCTGGGGACAAGTGGATTGCTTCGGCATGGCGCCTTGGAAGGGTTGGTCCACAGGCATACACTCCCATCCACCGTGAACGCTACCAGAGGGTTCTTATTGCAGAAGCATCGTCTTCCAGGATCCAGTCATGTTTGCTTGATGGGAGGATTTTGACATGAACGTGCGGCATTCGCATTCGCAGGAGCCTGCGCTGAAGAGTTTGTCCCTCCTCCAAATCGGAACCGCCGCCCGGCCTCTAGTGTCATGAGCAAAGCCAGTGAGTGTGATTTCTTTGAGGGTATCCATTTGGGCGTTCAAACAAAGTGTAAAGGACATCCCTAGATGAAGTATGGCATCGCACCTCAGGAATTTTCGCCTTGATTGTGGTGGGTACCTTTTGCGGACAATTGGGACTGTCCATCCTCACGCCCTTCTTCCCGGCGGAAGCTGCAGCTAAGAACGTTCAGGCAAGAGAGTCGAGCCTACTTGGCATTGTCGTGCTACGATTTGTTCAGTTCATTATGTTAGTTTGTACCAAAATAAGGGGACCTGCCCAAAATGGCCGGTTTCCGTTTGGATTCCCTTTAAAACCAACCAAAAGAGAACCGCCAAAAACAAAGACAGACCCATGTGACGGTCTTTTGCAGATCACCTTCAGACTTGAACGATAACTTTGGGAGGCCACCACACTGGGATGGATTTTCAGCATTTTCGAGCTCGCGACTATGGTGGGCACGCCAATAACGACCCTCGGCTGGGAACGTGACGCGTTCGATGAACACTGCAGCTGTCGGCTTACTTGACCTCGTGATGCTTCAGCTTGCAATGATTCACCGGATGTTCACCTGGATTGCCAGGGTTTTGCAAGAAGCCAATTGCCATGCCGCCACAAAGTAACTGGGCACAGATGCACTCTGCGGTTTATGCCCTCTGCATTTTTGTTGATACACTCACAGACTCACAGACGATACAAGACAAGGTTGGACCAACCAACCCCACACACACACACATTTAAACTATGCACGCAAGCACGCATGCATGCAAGCACACTCTTCTCTCTCTCTCTCTCTCAGACGCACACGCTTCCAAATGACTGCAGCAAGTTGTGCATAGTTCACATTGCTTTTGTCTCCCAAAGTTTCAAATGAAATCTCCCAACACAATTGGGGATTTTGGTTTAGTTTGGCTGCTTTCTTTCCCGACCGCAAAGCTATCACAACTCCAAGCGCTATACGGAAATTCGTCAGACGCGGCTCCGAAGCAAGAGAGGACCAAACCACGTGTTGAAGCTCTAAAAGGGGTTCACCCCAAGACGCACCTTTGGGATTACCTTAGCAAAAAGTCTCCCTTTGGTTTCGTAGTTTCCCTACAACTGGCAACAGCTCGGTTGCCCACAGCGAATCGACCTGTTGACCTTTCGGTTTCCAATTTTGGTTCTAGTCACAGTAGTTGATCGCCTCTTGTTTCCAGGTCCAAGAAAGAGAAGTGAGTCGAGAAAAGGGTAGCCTCAAAAAGCAGGCCAGTTGCCTCCAGAAAAAGGATCAAACCACGCGGGCGGTAGAACATTAAGTTAGGGTTCCTTGCCGATTCTCATTAAAATAATGGCATGGACCCAATTTTGATGACACTCCTTAGGTAAAGAATGGTGGTTATATATAAATATATACATTGTTGCAGTGCTTGTTTGAACTCCTGGGGTCTTGTTTATGTATTTTTCCAGGAAGCAACTGGGCAGCATTTTTGTTTCTGGAATCAAGGGTTTATACAAAAAGGGAACTGCATCATGTTTGCGTAGGCCATTTAGGTGGGGGGGCGTAGGCTCGCGTAGGCATTTCGCGTGCATCATGGTTCTTTTCCTTGCGTAGGCGCCCGCGTGGGCAAGCCTGGGATGATACATGTATATTTTTGAAGCTGGTTGAGGCCACAAGAGGAAGAGTGGCTACATGGCAGCTTTGAGGTTTGCATCGCTGCGCGTTAGCCGGAAAGTCAGGCTTGGGTTTGTCAAGACAGAACTGCCTCCATCCGCGTAGGCTCTGCGTAGGCTCCGCGTAGGCTCCGGCGTAGGCTCGAGGCCCATTTCGTGAAGCTGTCCCTTTCCGGGCGGGCCACTGCCGCTGCTCACGTTCAGCTTCTCGTTTTAGTCCGCAGCTGCCAATTGCTGCACCTCGAGTACGACACTTGTGCTGAAAGGTTGCGATTTTGGAATAGGAGCTGCCAAAGTGCATTTCGTGCGCCTGATTGGCTTCTTATTTTTATAACGCTGAAAACTTTTGCCAAGGCGATTTCGGCGCAGGTGTGACAGTGGCTTCGGAGTTTTGTGGTCGGATTTAACAAAATAGTAAAAACTTGGTGGTTCCCAGCCAGCCCCTTAGGCTTTTTGTGTTTTAGTGTTTGGTGGGGATTTCCATTAACCCAGTAACAGTTAAACTTTTTGCGGGGGATCTGAGGACAACCCAGAAAAGAAAGCCCCAAAACTAGCCATGTGTCCTTGGAACCCCAGGATCTCAGTGACATACCATCTCGCTGCATGTGGCAAAGTCCTGAGCGACCAAAGGAAGCAAGAAGACGTCGCATTCATGACTTCATTGCACAATGGCTTTGCTATGCAGCCGTCAAAGATGCACACTTGTTTTACGTGCCACGCGCAAAGTTTTTTTTTTGTGCGCTGTGTTGTGTTGCATCTTACGATTCAAGCCGAGAAGCTCAGCAAAGCGCTGCCATTGACCAGTGCAAGGTGCAAGTTCTGTAGGCACTTAATTTTGCAACGTGTCAATGTTAAGCACAACCAAGGCTGTTCATTTGCGCAGGGCATACCACAATGACTGTATACAGACAGGTGAAGCTGAAGGAAAGAGACACACACACACACACATACTGTTGTTAAATTCAACACCTGAAGTTAACTTCCATTGCCACAAGCCTGGCAGAATTTGGCCTTGACAGCGCACGATCCGTTGCTCGGCAGTTTGTCATTTATTCTGCGCCAGCTTGGAACCTGAAATTGGCTACAGGCTGAGGTGGTCTCCCTCTTGGAATGTCCACTTGGTTTCTTTCAAACCAACGGGGCCCCTTTTTCGTGCTTTTCAGTTTTTGGTGCCCTCTTCCCTATGCCAAGCACCGGGTTTTGGATGCCTCTAGGACGCGCCTGCTGGTGAGATTCGGCTCGAAGCCGATGCTGGTTTTGGGGAACTTGCTCGGTGGCGTGGCCAACATTCTCAATGGGCTTTGTTGGTATGCCAGCGCCTTGGCCTACTTTTGAGCCGGGGCAGACTTAACCCAGGGGTTCATTCCACCCAAAAGGAGAACCCCTAGGTTTAAGTCTTTCAACAAGTGGAACCCTGTGCCAGATTCTCACCTTTTGCTGGGGATCTCCAGGCCCAAATCGCCACACCAAATCGCCCCTTGGTAATGCTGAGAGATTTGGTGCTTGGAATGCCCCGTTCTTTTTTGCCATTTGCAACCTTCAGAGCCGCAACAGAAGGAGATGGTTGGACCCTTTCTTTTGGGAATACCGTTTTCCACAACGGATAACCGACCCCTTTTGGGGTAAACAGGCTATTTCCTCCAAGAAGACAACCCAGTGCAATGCACAGACGCAAGCCAGTTCCCAAAACTGCATGAGCAACAACGCCAGGAATTTCTGAGAGCTTTTGACAGCCAACATGCTAGGGACACCCGGAATTTGCAGAGCCTCTGAGATGCTGTCGTGAGCTCTGCGGAGGTCCTTAAGCAGAGCTCACTTTTACGGGCCCCCGCAGAGCTCACGTAGTGAACTCAAACCTGGAAGCAGCATGCAAGTCATCCAAAAGTTGGGTTCATCACTTGTGCAATCACCAGTGGTCGTTTTTGCACCTTCAAGATAGGCCTGAGTGTAGCATGTTCATGTTCACTCTGCCAAGATAGGCTAAACTGCTTGGGCATTGCATGTTTGGAATCTGCATCATCCAATCAGCAGCTCCCTGTGCTGGAGGTAGATGCCAATGACCTGTATTGAACATACAAAACAAAAAAAACAATTGCCCAACAAGTGTTTCTTCTTGAAAGAAGAACAACAAGCAGCGAAACCTTCCTAGAATTGAACGTTCCTGAGACAAAGACTCAAGTTCAATATTGCACCCCTTGCTGTACAAAATGTAAAAGTCACTTGCCTTGCATTTTTCAGAGTGATGTGTTTGTAGAGACAAGGGGCTCTTGCAAACACAAGGTTTCTTGGCTTGATTTAGTATACGCAAAGCTCTGCTAACTCACTCCTCCGCCTATGTCCTTCAGGGCAGAAGTGATTTGCGGAGCGACTTTGCCTTTCGACCCTGCGTCCTTTATTCTGGTCAAAAGCAACGCCGAATTTCAGTTCCCCTGCAATGGCCGTCCATGTTGCAGTTGGTGGACGAGCGATGAAACATGCTCATGATGCGCACCGGCCCCAATCAGCATATTTTACGATATGTGTGTGTGTGTGCCCATTTTAGCAGCTGGTTGTTTCAGAATACTGAGCAGTTTTTAAGCCTTTTACAACCACGCAGGTAGAACCAAAAGCCAATGTAACTTCCCCCCCCGAAATCTGAAGGCACTCTTGTTGGATGGGCGCTGCTCCTTTGCAGCTCACCCGACAGAGGTGATGGAGTGGCCTTTGTCAGCTGCTGCTTGCTACTGCGAGTCATCGCTGGCTTTGCCTTCGCCTTTACCTCCACTGCAGGCGGGAGGAGGGGAGGATGTGTGTGTGTGTGTGTGTTTGGTCAGACACGTTATAATCTCCCTTTTGGCTTCAAGGTTTGGTTTAAAGGGAAACAAAAGGACAGGTCCCAAAATAGGGAAGCCCCAAAATACTCGTAGGTGCATAGCTTTCCCTTGAATCAAGCAGGTACCCTTCTCCTGTTGGTTGGTTTTTACCATGTTGGAGTCCCCTGATGTGACAAACTGAATCGGGGGATGTGCAACCTAGGCAGTCAAGCTGACGCTTCGAGCAAACCTAGCCAGGCACCACATGCAGACGGGCAGATCACCCCCTTTGTCCGCGACCGATTACGTCCTCGGATTTGGCAATATTAGTAGTTGTTATCATCAGCTCCAGTGATGCTGCAGCTTTTTCAGCCCATTGAATGCCGCAGGTGCATATTGTATATCTTGATTGCTGTTGGGTTGGATCTTTAGACTTTAACTGTTTGGGAAATCACGGGGTTTCTATTCAGCCCCTGACAAGTTAAACTTTTTGTTGCAGAGGGGTCAACAGCCACCAACACATTACCACCAATTGTGACTCGTGTACCCGAGCAATATGCCTGAAAGTCTTCGGTCACGTACCGAAGAAAAGTGCCTGAAAGTCTTTGGTTGAAGGAAGATGCTGTTTGTGCCAATCGTGAAGAGTGAAAGACCACCTTAACCAAATGCTATTGCACAGATCCACATTGCTGACAGGACCGTGATATTTGATTTGCAGAGTCTACACTAATTCCAAATCCCATCAGAAGGAATCCCAAAGTAGATGACATACATGATGCTCAGCTTGTTTTAATTCCAGGTGAGCTCGCCATAAAAGAGACGGATTCAATCAGTACTCTCAGCAGCTGCATCTTTAACCGAAGCGAAGAGCCTGATTCGCAGCGGACGGATTCCGCATGTTGAGGAATGAGTACAAATGTCCCTGGCTGGAACATCAGCTTCCAAACCCACTGGTTGAGGTTCCCGCAAACATGGGTAACTCCTCAAAGGGCACCACACCCAACCAATTGATCAGGTCCATTTTTCAAGAGCCCACACTGATCCTTTGCGGGGATTGCACTCATTGTACTCATTCCAAGCTGCCGGCTTCAACTTGGTTCCCAGCCTCCCTCATGTTTCGTGGATTTTGGTGTTTAGTTGGTTTCGTGGTTTCCACTAACCAACCACCAATTGAAACCCTAGCAGATCGAAGGGGAACAGACGAAAACCGAGGCTACAGCTTGTTGTCACCCCTCTTCGGCGACAAGATGAGCACTGCCACCGGCATTTTGGAAGGCGCGCTCGGGATCCCGCTTCTTGCTGGGTCAGATTGACGCGGAGGTGCACGGCTTCCCCTTTGAAGAATTTGATCGGTCAATATGGGGTTTTACATCCATTGCATCCGCAGTGTGGCTGTTCAAGCGTGAAAATGTGCGAGCAGCGCACTTGGACGGTTTGTTGTTTCCTTTTGGGCCCCAAACCGGTAACCCTTGAATCTATAGGTTATCAGCCGTAGGCCCCTAGCTCCAAGCAATGGACGGTTCCCTTGTGCCAGTTGATGGATCCAACATGCCTGTGGATGCTGCCGGAGCTAGCTCCGACAACGCCACCGGCGGCGGTGTGCGAATGTTCGCAGCAAGCGCTAATGCGCAGTACAACCGCACCCTGATGAATTCCCTTCAACTGTACAATACCGCAATCTTTGCTTTTGGGAATGATGCAGCCATTAGGTCTGAAGCCGAAGCCCTGCATCAAGCAGCTGTTACGCATTTGCAAGCGGAAAACCGTGAGGAGCTCCGTGTCGCACAGAATCAGCTGCATGCACACTACGCTGAATGTGTGCAAGCCCAGTCGCATAGAATTCGTGAATACGAACAGCGAGTGAGCGATGAGTTCATTCAAGAAGTGAACTTCGCTGAAGCTAGGATAAGCCAAGTGTGTGAGGAAAATGCCCAAGCATTGCATGAAGCGGAAATGGGACACAAAACAACTGAGTTTAGGCAAGCCATCGAATCCACCCTGGCGGAAGCCCAGCAGCTCCTTCATGAGCAAGCTGCCAAGCACGCCGATGACACAGCCCGTGTTGAAGCGAAAAACGCCAGGATGATTGACATGATGGCCCACCAAAACGGGCTTCTGCAGGACGAGCTCGATGAGCTGAAGAGGTATCAGAAGCAACACGACCTCCGCGAGGATGGATCGAAGCCCAAAGGGGTAGGTGATACCCGAGAGGATTCACCAGAGTTGATGACCGACGACATGAAGTCAGCTCGGTCCCAAAGGTCAATGTTGGACCCGTTGACCCATCCGTTTCAATATGCAAAGGAAAAGTTGAGGTCGCTTGTTACCTATGACGGTTACGGGGATGAATATACCCCTAGCGTGATTCCAACTGCCGAATGCGAAGCACTGCCCGCAGATGCTCGCGATCCGCAAGGACCAGCTGAAAAGCCATCAGGTAGCAGCCGATCCCCGGTGAAAACAAGTGCACCGGTCCCACCCCTGCAATTCTCTCAGGGGCCAATGTCAACTGACCGCAAGCAGGGTGGTAAGCCTCCCGGCGGTCCGCCACCTGATGATGATGGCGATGGCGATGGTGATGAAGACGAAGGTGATGGCCTCGGGCCTAACCTCGGCCAAGAAGCATTCGCCAAAATGTTGATGAAGTTAGTAAAAGGCCACACGAACGATGAAAAGCCCAGAACCCGCGAAAGCGAGACGTTGCGATTCAAGGAGATGCCAACTCCTGAAACGTACCGCGAATGGAAGACATCGGTTCGTGAGGACGTCCGCGCCGCATCTGACCGTCCAGACGAGGCTTGGCCTTGGATCATGGAAGTCTGGTCCGATCGCGAGGACAAGAAGAAGCTGTTGGAGGAGCTCGGCGAACCGGGAAAATTCGTGACCCTAGACACGAAGATTCTCGCAGCGCTCACGCGTTCAGCGAAAAGGCGATCTGGCTCAGCGAATCCTAACAGCAAAGGAAGAATGTGCCAAGGAGGGAAAGGCCATGAGAGGAAGGCAGGTCTTGTTTATGTTTGACCAATATTTCAAGACCAGTGAAGAAGCCGGAAACCTCTACTCCTTGGAGGACCTGTTGCGTGTCTCGCGACACGGCGAAGGAATCATTGATCTCAAACGTTTCCTAAACGCTTGGGATTCCGTGATCGCCGGCATGAAAAGGCCGCCGGAAGAAAAGGTGTTGAAAGACATCTTGCTTCGCCAAGTGAGAAGCTGCCATCTGTTGCGGTACGACATAGACACGTATGATCGTTGCCGAGATGATGATCCAAACAAATCGTACGATTTCCTAATGCGTTGCATGAGGGATCTGATCGAGAGGGATAGGCTTCGCGAGAACCGAGAGCGCGTGTCCAAAGTCAATGCTAGTAAAGCCCCGACGCCCAAGGCTGGTGCCGCCGCCCCTGAAACGAGGGACCCCAAGAAAAAGAGCGCACCTAAGCCGAAGGACACCGAGGAAAAGTACTGCTTTGACTTCCAGAAGGGCTCGTGCACGAGGGGGGCGAACTGCCCTTACGCGCACCGCAAGGAGCCGCGAGGACGCTCCGCGACCCGTGGCAGGCCAAGTTCCCCCAAAGGCGGTAAAGGAGAGAAAGCACCGTGTTCTTTCTTTGCCCAAGGGAAGTGCACTAGAGGTGACACATGCAAGTTTAGCCATGCCTCCACGGGCGGCAAATCTGCCGCTGCGGCATCGAGCAACGAGGCCAACGCAAATCCTGCGGCCAAGAAGCGTGCAAATTCGCCTAAGCCTAAGCCCAAGGCCAAGGCCGCCGCAGTATGCACTAGGTACGCCATGTTTGCCAAGCCGATCAATCCCATTGGGGTGTCGTTTGACACCAATGCTCATGTGCATGAGATCCCCGCCGAAGGCGACGGTTTCAAGCTTGAGTACGAGGAACGGCAGTATAACAGGATGTTTCCAAATGCTAAGGACTGCCCTAGGCCGACCAAAGGGACTAACAAGGCAGCGCGCAAGGCCGCGAACCAGTTGAGTGCCGTAGTCAAAGCCATTGAGAATGGAGCCCAGCCCGCTTGTGGTTTCATGTGCGATGTGGAATCCGATTCCATCTCAAGCCTATCGTGTGATGAGTGCCTGAGAATTGCCATGCCGCCTCACGATGTTCGCAAGGATGTCGAAGCGCCAAGGGCAGCCACCCCTGCACCAAAGGGAAAGGACGTGTGGCTTATTGATTCCGGTAGTGAGCAGGACCTCATCAGCAAAGCTGCACTGAGGAATGCGTCCAAGGCAATTCGGAAACAGGCACCTCAGCCTATTCGCCTTGTGACTGCAAACGGAAACATTACTGCTTCCGAAATCGCCGACATCAATGTCGATGCATTGTGTGAGCCTGCTCAGCCTTACATCCTCGAGAGTTCTCCCGCAGTGCTGTCGCTGGGTGTGAAGTGTCTGGATCAAGGATATTCCTTCCATTGGGAATCCGGGAAGGCGCCAACTATGGTTCGCCCTGATGGTGCTCTGATCCAGCTCAAGGTTGATGGTCATGTGCCACACATGGATTCCAGCTGTGAAGCTGAGCCATCGTTGAGTGCAGTAGCAGCATCCAAGCCAGCGCCTGCACTGGTTCATGACGAAGGCATCGACGAAGGTGATGATCCCGACGACGAAGTTGAGCGGTTTGTTAGATCCCGCAAAGAGCAAGATCTGGTTGCCGAAGCGAGTACCAAAGAGCACTTGTTTGCACACTATCCGAAGAATCCCTTTTGCCGCACTTGCCAACGTGCCAAGATGCTTGCCCCATATGCAAGATCGAAGGGCGGGCAGGGAAGGCTCGAGACGAAAGCGTTTGGAGATCACATCATTGCTGATCATGTGATTCTCAAGGCCAACATTGAGCAGGGTATCAAAGGTGAATGGTGTGCTCTTGTGATCAAGGACGTGCATACGCAGTTCAGGTACGTTTACCCATCGACCAGCAAAAGCACGGAGCAATCCGTTGCAGGGATCCAGCATTTCATTTCCGGTAGGGATGAGGTTGAAGTTCTCTACACCGACAACTCCCGGGAATTGAAAGCCGCAATAGAGCAGTTGGGGTACCGTCATCAGACCTCCATTGAATATGTTGATTCTTCCAAATCTTTCGTGGAAAGGGAAATCAGACATCTGTTGGAGGGAGCACGTGCGAACCTTGTTCAGTCAGGGTTCCCACTGTCGATGTGGCCATTTGCTATCCAGCACAATGCAGTTGCGACCAACATCCTGCCACAGTTGAATGGAAACGATTCGCCATGGTACCTCAGGTTTCACAAGACCTTTGATGAAGCTGAGATACCTTTTGGAGCAAAGGTACTGTTCTGGAACAACCCTGCTCGAGCAGACAATCAGGCAGGCAAGACTTCGCCAACATCAAATGAAGGCGTGTTTCTCGGGTACCACATTCAGCCTGGGTTCGCATGGAAAGGCGAGTTCCTTGTTGCAAAACTAGAAGGGCTCGATTACCATATCGAACATGCGTCCCTCACGGTACAGCGAACAAAGCGCATTGAGCTTCCGACTGATGAGTTCATCTTCCCGATGAGGTTGTTGAAAGACCCTGCATCTCATCCACCTGTTGCCAATGCTAGGACACGAGATGATCCTGTGCCGTTGGAGCGTGGGCAAGCCCACATCGAGGAACCCGCCGCATCGGAGAAATCCGAAGCGAAGATCAAGCCTGTCGTGCCTGACAAAGGCGGTGCATTCGACCCAAGCATAATGCCTGATGGGTCACCAGTACCCGATGGCTATGTGTGGGATGGGGTTCGGCTCGTCCGTAGGAAGGCTGGATCCAAAAGGCCTCCCGATATCCCGTCCGACATGTGGGTCATGCTCGGCAGCCAGGACCGAAAGGCCCTAACCCAGCAGTATGAAGATCAGCTCCGTGCAGATGCCAAGAAGGCTGTGCTCGAGACAGCAGTCTCATCGGAGGCCAGATCCGAGCACCCCGAAGCAGCATCGAGTGCAAAGCCGACCAGCGCCGCCCGCGAGGGCGAGCCGACATTGCCTGTGATCCGGCACGCGCCTGCGATGTCCGTTCTTCCGGAACGGGACAAGTCATCAAAGGAGCCGCATCGCCCGCAATTGCGCGAGTTGGTCAAAGAGCGAATCAAGAAAGTCGAATTTGATATTGCTCTTGAACTGTTCAGTGCAGTCGTTGCTAGGCTTGTGCCAAAAGCCGAAGTAGCCAATACGCCAAAGGCCCAAGCTGCCCTTGACAAGCAATGGGAAAACCTTCGAAAGAAAGGCACTTGGGATGAGTTCAGAGTAAATGAGTGTA